TTAGAGTGTGCCAGAGAGCCAAGATTGGGACCTGGTGGTGAGATGCTCATGCAAACTGCTTTCAAATCATTCAGAGAGCTGCTTAGCAGTGGGGACCGGCAGAGATTTGTTATTCAGGACTAAAGAAATTTATCTGTGGCCTGAACTCCATGGGCCACAATTATTGCTGCTCTTGTTCCTCACTTTGATTACTTTTTCACTTGGATGAACTGAAACTTACAAGGCAGTGAGCTATGTTTACCCCTCTTCAGATGACTGATCTTGAAGGCAGGTTAAGGTTCCTGCTAAACTTCTGCTGTTTTTTTTTTTTTCATGGATTATCTGCCTCACTGAAGATCTCTTTTCTCAGAGCTTAGGACAGGTTCATTTCTGTTCAATCACTTCAATCCTCTGCTGAGAATTTGCCTTTATACTTACAATATTTGAAACCAGAACCTATATTTTAACAAGCTCTGTAAATTCTGATTCAGTATATCTGGGGTAGAAATGCAAATTTTCAACAGGGGTTGAACCAGAATGAATTGGTTGGAAGCCCTGCTTTTCCCCAGCTCACAATATAGTTTGACAGAGCCAGTGAAGCTGGGTCAGAGAAATAAGACCTTGGCAATGGGAGGACTTTGGGCCCAAAGCCCTCTGCTCAGTTTCCATAGAAACAATCCAGAGGTGGTACCCAGGACAATGGGTCTTAAAGTCACAGATGCTTTATTTTGAGAATCCCATCACATAACAAATACTATTCAATAATAGCTTTTAAGGAATCCCATCACATAACAAATACTATTCAATAATTGCTCTGCATGGTTTTGGTCAAGACCTTCCAATTCCCTGGAGTAAGGCCCCTTGCATTACCTGACCCTCCGTGTAGAATAATTATCTTTTATTACTTTCAAACTCGATGACCAATTCATGACCCAACATCTACCATTGTTAGTCAAATTATAAATTTTGAACAACTGGTTTATGATAGTTTATTACAAGCAAATGCAATGACAATGAGAGCATAGTAATTAAAAGAGTGTAGAATCAACAGTCAGAAATCCGCTGGTTGAAACTCCAGCTCTACCAGATTTGGGGCAAGTCTGAGAACTTCTCTGAGCTAGGTTTTCCTTGTTGGTAAAACCAAAGGATGAGATTAACTGATCTCTAAGCCTTTTGGGCTCTATAATTCATTGACCAACACCCATTTGTCATCTGTCAGTCTGTCATCTGTCAGTTTGTCCTACTGTGGTGGTTTGTGTGTTGTTATGATGCTGAAAGATATGCCACTGAGTATTTCAAATTCCAGTGGGACCACCATGGTAGAGAGGCTTCGGTGGAGCTTCCAGACTATGGCAGCCTAAGGAAGAAAGGCTTGATGATTGATGAGTATTTTTGAAATGTAGCCAATGAAAGCCCAGTGGATTCCAACAGAAGATCTTCTGATAGAGTGCTGGAAGATGAGCCTCCTAGGTTGGAAGGCATCACATAAAAGTCTCTTCAATGGACCTAAGTATACCAATGACCATGAAGATGGCCCAGGCCCAGGCAACACTTCATTCTCTTATACATATGCTCCCTGTGAGTTGGAGCCAACTCAATGACAATAACAACAAAATGATTCTCTGAATCTATGGTTTTATGTAATGGCTATTACATATTCCATGAAAAAATAGACTATGACTCAGTTGATGGTGATTATGTAGAAATGATGGTAAGAGATTTTATTTATAGGAAGGTTGTCAGATATAACATCTTAATGGAAAGAAAAAGGAAAGGGGGAGGAGGAAGTCTAGCATGTACCAAATTCCTACAGTGTGCTAGACAAATTTATATTCACAAATATCTCATATGACAAGATAATCATTTCAGTGATATGCTCCTTTGTTGTTGTTGTTATGTACCTTACAGTAGGTTTCGACTCATAACGACCCTGTACAGGGTTTCCGAGGCTGTAAATCTTTACGGGAACAGAAAGCCTCATCTTTAAATGCTCTGGTTACTCCTTGTCTCAGAAGTGTGGCTAGTTGATTGAGTGCTTCCTATGTGCAGGGACTTTTCTCTGCTCTATACACATATTCACCCAATTAAGGATCCCTCTTTACAGAGGCACATGCATGGCATTTCTCAAGTTGAATGAAGTGAAGAAAAAATTCAAGACTAGAGTTGTAATATTGAGGGATTCAGTGGGCTGATAAGTGGCAGAGCCAAGTTTGAAATTCAGAGTGTGGAGTCCAGAACAAACTCTCTTAATCATGGTGTCTCTTGTTATTCATTCCTTAAACAAATATTTGATGAAAACACAGCATTCAAAGACATTGAATTAATTCCCTTTGGGGATTCTAAGCTGAATGAGACAATGTCCTTATCCTTAAAAAGCTTAAATAGACAAAAGTAGTGTTGTTGTTAAGTGCCATAAAGTTGGTTCTGACTATAGTGACTCTGTATAGGGTTTCCGAGAAGCAGCTGTTAGATTTGAACTGCTGACCTTTCAGTTTGCAATCTAGTGCTTATCCACACCAGGATTCCTAAAATATGCATAAAAGATGCTCAGAATGGAAGAAGTGATCACACTCAACCTAAGTTTGTTGGTGTTTGTTGTTAAGTGCCATCAAGTTGGCTCCAACTCATAGAGACCATGTATAGGGTTTCCAAGGAGCAGCTGGTGGATTTGAACCGCCTACCTTGCAGTTTTAGCAGCACTTTAAAACGATTCCTTTCATTCTACTAATGGGAGAGTTGGCAGTTTGGACGCATCCAGCAGTTGCAGGGGAGAAAGACCTAGTGATCTACTTCCATAAAAATTCCAAAACTCAAAAAACAAATTCCCTGCTATTGAGTCGATTCTAACACACAGTGACCCTGTACAGGGCTTCCGGTGCTGTAAATCTTCATGGGAGCAGAAAACATCATCTTTCTCTTGTGATAGTGCAACTAGTGGCTTTGAACTAGCAATCTTGCAGGTAGCAGCCCAGTGCTAAACCTACAGACAAGAAAACCCTATGGGGCAGGTCTACTGTATCACAGTAGGTCACTATGAGCTGGAGTGGACTTGCTGGCACACAACAATAATTGCATTCTGGACATGTTCAGAACTCTATTCAAATCAATGGGCAGTACCTGACAAGAGGGGTCCTGGCAGGGACTAAAAGGGCAGCATTTTCCCAGGAACAATAAACACTCAAGTCAGAAAGGTGTAGGAAAGGACAGAAGCAGGGAGGAATTGGGGAAATGCTACTTCATTGAGGGAATTACAACAAATGTTATGAAACAAAATGTGTAAAATTTGTTGAATGGTTTACTCTGTAATTTGCTCTGTAAACTTTCACCCAAACTATAATAAAAAGTTAAAAAAACAATACAAAACAGAAGGTCCTGGCAAGAGAGGTCCTGCCCCAGATCCCTGCTTTTGAGGTCCCATTCTGGTTCTCTGGCTCCAGCTCTCCCTATGTACAAGGAGTCCAAGGCCCTGAGGATGTACGTACCTGGTGCCTAAGTTCCCGCCTCCAGCATCATTTCTAGCACCAAAGCTGCATTCTTCAACTACTGATTTGTCTTCTTTGTTTTCAACTTTCCCATTCCAATTATCAGTAATTAGTAATGCATCTTGATTGCATCTTTGATAGTTTCTACCTGTTGGATACCTTGTTGCCGTTGTTAAGTACCGTCGAGTCAATTCTCACCCATAGTGACCCTGTTTAGGGTTTCCCAGGAGTGACTGGTGAGCTTGAACTGCTGGCCTTGCAGTTCAAACGGCTTTGCAGTCTGGTGCATTAACCCACAGCACCACACCAGGACTCCTGGACTCTTGTAATTCCCTGCACTAAAGTCTCTGAACCTATTTAAGGACAGACCACATAGTCCTCAGACAGAGGGGCGACCAAGGGCAGCTGATTGTGTATTATATATACAAGGAAAACATTTGCTGTACTAGTTATTTCAATAAATATCTGTTGAATGGATGGATACGATAATTATTCTACAGCATGTTCTATTCTAGTAGAGCCTGGCCATTGAGGATTTATTCTTCAACGCTTTCTACTTTCCTAGCCCTCTCTTTAAGGGTTTTTTCTCCTGTGTTCTTTGAAACAGGTAAACTCATCCAAGTCTGAGCAATATCTCTGAACCCACAGGGGGCTGGGGATGGGCTAGGGATAGGGAATAAATGAAAGGCTGATAGCTGGACCATGGCTTCCCCTCCCCCAATGTCAAGGCAGTCCAGACCTTGGAGAGGGAAGCCAGTCATGTCGCCAACCAGTCCCACCCAGAAGGGGTGTTGGATGTCATGAGATTACTTGTCTTCTTTTGCTTTCTTGAGAATGCAGAATCACAGAACTGGGAGGGTTGTTAGTAGAAAAGTGTCTAGCTCAGAACTCTCAAACCATAGGCCTTTCACCCTATTCCCCAAACCAGCTTAGACCGCCAGGCATTTGGCTGCTCCTTGACTCTGCCTTAGTGGTAACACTTTCTTTCAGTTTGTTCACAGGCTCCATGGATTTCCGAACAAGTGACAGGAAACTTGGGGATCCTTCTAAAGACTTTAGTTTCCCCCCAGAAGGTGGATCTTAGGAAGGGTGGGTGGATGGATATAAATGGATGGATACTCAAGAAGCTAGGTGAGGTACCCATGGTGAGCAAAGCCAAACCTCTCATAGGACCCTTTCAATCTTCCACCTCTCCCCACCCGCGGCCGCTCCTCCTGTTCCCTGGTGGGTGGGGTGCACAAAGGAAGGGAGGGTACAGGCAAGTGAGGATTTGATGGGGGGGAGGAGGATAATTTGAGACTGCAAGGGGAGGCCAAGAAGGAGAGGTGGGGAAGGGGAGGGCCTCGGAACGCGGAAAGGAGGGGCGGGCTAGGAGAGGGCGCGGCAGAGGGGGCGGCAGACTCCACGCCTGCTGGCAAGCGGGCGGGCGGGCGGCTAGGGGACGCGATGCAGCCGCTGCCTATTTGCGGGGCCAGGCTGCACCGCCCGGGCTGAGCCACTAGCCGAGCGGCCGCTGGGCACACCAATAGTGCAGGGAGGATGGGTTGCGGCGGGAGCCGAGCTGATGCCATCGAGCCCCGTTACTACGAGAGCTGGACACGAGAGACCGAGTCTACCTGGCTCACCTACACTGACTCAGATGCACCGCCCAGCGCCGCCGCCCCGGACACCGGCCCCGAGTCAGGCGGCCTGCACGCGGGTGAGTGGCCTGGCTCCTCAGACACACCGAGTTGCGCACTCCTGGCGCCGGGGAGCCTGGAGTAAGGGAATAGGAATTTGGAGGGCTGGGGGTGCCAGAGGAGAAAAAAATAGCGCCTGGGTGGCGTACAGACAGACAGGAGCTGGACTGACAGACCCACGCCAGGTTCGGGGTCCACGAGATCCCCTTGCACAAGGAGAGCTAATCTCCGGAGCTTCGGGGAAACCCAACACTTTCTTGCCTCCACCTATGCACCATCATTGGGAGCACTGCCCACCTCGCCCGCGCACTTTTCCCCAACCGTTTTTCAGCCCACTGCCCGCTCCAGTCCTGGACCCGCTAGGATTGCGTCTGCCTTGCTTTGCTCTGTCTCTTTCTCTGGCCACCTGCGTATCCAGCTGGGCCACTTCTTCATCCACTGGCCACCTGGCCCTTCTGCCTCAGATTTACTGATAAAATCACTGACGGGGATTGCCTGGGTGGAGTCATCTCTGACGCTTTGCCTTTCTGCCTGTTGGCAAGGAGCCCCCTCGTGGGCTACAAAACCAGATTCCTAATGCTGGGCAAAAAGAGTGCTCCGTGCCCTCCCCACTACCAGGGAAGTACTTAGGGCTACTTTTCAAGCAGTTGTTTGGATTTTATTCTCCCCATCCCATGGTGCTTCAATGCTTTACATAAGGCAGCACATAAAATTAGACTAGGCTATAAGGAGCTCTGGTAGCGTAGTGGTTGCGAGTGGGGCTGCCAACCTAAAGGTCAGCAGTTCAAAACTACCAGCGCTTCCGCTGGAGAAAGATGAGGCTTTCTGCTCCCGTAAAGATTTACAGCCTTGGAAACCCTGTGCAGGGTCACTATGAATCGGAACCGACTCCACGGTACTTACCAACAACAACAAATATGTGAAATACTCTTGCCTAGATATTCCCATGTCTAGTAGAAATAAAAGGATACGAAAAGAATTTTCTGGATATTAAAAAAAGAGCATCCGCTAATACTTGTAGGGTAGAGATGAAAACAGACTACTTGTTGTAGACTGATCTTTAATCCTAAGCATATTGTTACATTGAAAGGGAGGAGAAAACAAACAAACAAACAAAAAACTTTAGAGCTTATTATACGGATATGATCAAAAGCAAGAATGTTTTAACTGTTTCTTAATTCTGTTGAATAATGAAATCTAATATGAAATATTAGTACTGATGTGGCACTGTGTGTTAATGCGCTGGACTGCAAAGTCGTTTGAACTGCAAAGTCAATGGTTCAAGCTTACCAGCCCCTCTCAACACTCTTTACAGGGTCGCTATGGGTCGAAACCAACTCGATGGCACTTAACAACAATAACCATATAAAATAAGGCTAATTCGAAGCATAGTGTATAAGGAGGAAGAGTGAAATGTGAACTACTTTTAAAAGACAGTCTTAAATCTATGGTTTCAGTCAGATTCCTTATTTTCTTCTACTCCCTGCCAATGTTCCACCCATATATCTTAAAAAGGGAGTCTCGGCGAGGCGCTGTGAGTTAATGCGCTGGATTGCAAAATCGGTAGGAACCGATTTTGTTCACCAGCCGCTTCTCAAAAACCCTATACAGGGTCGCTATGGGTAGGAACCGACTCAACGGCACTTAACAACAACAAATCTAGAAGAGAGATGGAACCTTAATCTTGAAAACTGGCCTCTCCAGTTTCCTTTTAGGACCAATGCTGGTTATGCGGCTAATGTTTTTATGAGAACGGTCAGTTAAAGCTGTGCTGAACATAATATTCTATTTATTTCTAGTTTTCCTGACAATCATCACATTTCCAAATGATGTGTTGATTGGATTCAGTGTCAGAATAAGGTTAAAACATGAACTTGCTAAAGGGACCTGGTGACTGTTAGGTGTGGCCGCATCTCTCCAGGAGGTGTGGTACTTCTCAGTGGAATCAAAGGCTGAAACTGCACTTGAGGGAAATAAAGCTAAAAAGATCTAATGTGAAAAAGTACAGCTTTAGGGAAAGATTGCCCTGGTGACTGTATGTGGTGTGTGTGTGTGTGTGTGTGTGTGTGTGTGTGTGTGTAGGTGTGTGTGAGAAAGACATTATGGGTGGCTAATACGTACAAGAAGTCTCTGGGTGATGCAAATGATTAACATACCTGACTACTAACCAAAAGGTTGGAGGTTCAAGTCCAGCCAGAGGCACATCAGAAGACAGGCTTGGGGACCTTCTTCTGAATCAGTCATTGAAAACCCTGTGAGGCACAGTTCTACTTCTACGCACACACGGGATTGCCATGAGGTGGAATCAGCTGAATGGCAACTGGTTTTAGATATGTTCTTATAGGATTCTCTAGTCTTTTCTAAACATTTATTAATCTGTTCTCCTGAGTCATATCCCATCTCTCCTGAGATCTGGTCCCTGCAACAAGTGGGGCCTAGATAAGCACTTTCATTCATAGTGCTCTGTCAGGCATGGGACAGTCCTGCCAGGTAGGTGGTTCAGAGCACCTGCGTCATTCAAGTTCCAGTCCCAGGAAAACACCTACATTGGCAAAACTCTTGTGGGCAGAATCCTTTCAATTTCCTAGAAATTTGTTTCAACTAGGCTTGGGGGTGGGAGACATTACTGAGGTTCAAGATGCATCAAGGCTTCCCTGGGCATTCCCAAGGGATGTTGGGAAAGTATCTTGATTTTTGTGAGGTTTTCAGACTAAGACTCAGTCATCTTTAGCCAGAGTGGGTCATCTAAGTAAGCTGTACTTGTAAATCTCCTGGGTTTCAGTCAGATTCCTTATTTTCTTCTACTCCCTGCCAATGTTCCACCCATGAATTCAGTCTGGATACAGCTAATGGCCCGTGTCTATATTGTGATAGGAAGCTAGAATGACTATTTATTTATTCATTAAAACACCAGTCTTTTTCTAACAGAGCAAATGGAAGAGCTGCATTTAGGAGAGTCCAGTATTGGAAACCAACAAAATGGCTTCCTCACTTGAATTTTAGAGCTAGAAGGGTGAGTTTGGAGGTCATCTACCCAAAGCACATGGAGTCTCAAGTTAAATTGCTCAAGGATGGACAATCTCTCAACCACTTTAGAATCCTTACTTACCCCCAACTTCTCAGTCCTCAAGAGTCCTTAATTTCTGAGTCCTCAACTATTTTTCTTTAGTATCAAATTGATGCCATTTTTCTCTTGGCCACCTCAGCCACAGGAAATTTGAGGGCAGGGGATGGGTCTAATTCACCTGCATATATTCTGTGCTTCACAAAGACACATGGTTGGGACTTTCTGAATGAATAACTACTCTTCCTAACCCTGCCCTTGGCTTGAATTTGGTCTTCAGTTCTGTCAGCCAGCTCTTCCTAGATTCTCTCCCTCTTTGCTCTCCCAGTTGTTGCTGTTGAAGTGTTCCCACTTGAATCCATTAACCTAGATCCTCTCAAGTGCTTTCGGATCCCTAAGTTTCTCTAAAAATATTCCTTTCCATTTTTTTGTCATCTTCCCTAGGAAATAGACCTACTTTATTGAAACATCTGGCCCACATCAAAGATTGCATTTCTTTGAATAGAATCCCATTCAAAGTACTCCCCCATCCCACCTCAATTCCATAACCACATCTATCAAAAAGCACCCATTTAAACATACGAATTGCCCACGAGTTGATTCCAACTCACAGAGACCTGACAGAACAAAGTAGACTGCCTCATAAGACTTCCAAAGTTGTAATCTTTATGGGAGCTGACTGCCTCACCTTTCTTCCCATAAGGGGCTCTTGGGTTTGAACCACTGACCTTTGGTCAGGAGCCAAGTGCTTAACCATCACACCATGGACTCCTTCTATTTAAGCATATCTTGCCTTTAAGTCTCGCTTTGTTTCTCTTAGTCCCATCCATATTGAGGACCTGGTATGTAGCATGTGTTCAATGAATATTTGCTGGATGGATTCTTCATTTGACTAGGAAGGGGGCATGTTCTTGCCACTCCACAAAGGAAACAGTTGTGTGTCTCCTTCTCCTTACTCCCTAAGTCATGTTGGGACTCTGGTTCTGGCTGTTCAGCGATCACCTCTGTGAGCCAGCTGAGTCCACTGAAGTTTAGAATATTGCGTAGGTTGGAATTTAAGACTTAATTGAAACCACCACTGTTAATATCCATTGCTTCCCTATGTCACTGAAGCCTATCTCTGTCACAAAAGGAAATTAAATTGGTCTGGCATGATTTAGTCCTCATAAAATCAGTTTGCTCGGTAGAATTTTACTTCTGTTGTCTAATGGGAGTCTCCCAAGGAGAAAGAGGCTCTCTGAGGTTACCATGACCCAGGCTAGCTCTGCCGTCCTATATGGTAATAACTTTTGGCCTCACCAGCTTTAATCACAAATCCCTTAAATTACATCCTTAAATATCCCTATTTGTACTGTTGGGTTTTCCCCCCCTAATTTTTCTAAGGAATAAAATGTTTCAAATTTCTCTAGAGTACTTCTAGTTTTTAGTTTCAGATTGCTGCAATAATTGCTCTAGTATACAGAAGAAGAAGACATAGAGACTCACAGCAAAACGATGTACCTAAGTAAATTGAAGGAAACTTAAATAAACTGAAGAGCATTTAATATTACCATTAACTAACATTTACTAAAGGAGTCTTGGTAGCGTAGTGGGTTACGAGTTGGATTGCTAACAGGAAGGTTAACAATTCGAATCTACCAGATGCTACTCGGGAAAAGCTTCTGTAAAGATTTACAGCCTGTGAAGTATGAGTATTCCGGAACACGTAATTGTGCTCATGAGGAATCTGTACCTGGACCAAGAGGCAGTTGTTTGAACAGAACATGGGGACACTGAATGGTTTAAAATTAAGAAAGGTGTGCAACAAGGTTGTATTCTTCCCCCATACTTATTCAGCCTGTATGCTGAGTAAATAATCCGAGAAGCTGGGTTCTATGAAGAAAAACGTGGCATCAGGATTGGAGGAAGACTCATTAACAACCTGCGATGTTCAGATGATAAAACCTTGCTTGCTGA